TAAAAGATAAGGGCACTTTATTTATAATCACCCTCTTGTTTGAAGAGGGGGGGATGCTGAGATTCATAGAAGTTACGGAACTTTTTCAGAGTCACTTGGCCAACAAGAGGCAGAGACAAGATTTGAGCCCAGTTCTCTGTCCCCTCTGCCCCATTCGCATTTGTTGGGAAATGAGAATGAGAGCTCACTGACTCAAATTTTTCTTATTATAGATGAAGAAACTAAAAACGGTGGATCAGTGATCTCTCAAACATCCCCATGAGATGGCTTCTCTGGTGGTCGGTTCAGTGACTGGGACTCCGCCTTGCAGTACAGCAGACACTGGTCCAATTCCTGGTCCCGGAGGATCCTATGTGCTCACATGCCTCAGAGCAACTAGGTCCATGCGGCCGTAACTACTGAGCCTGTGCTCTGCAATAAGAGAAGCCACTGCAATGAGAAGCCCTCACATGGCGATGAAGAGTGGCCCCCTCGCCCAAAGCTAGAGAAAGCCCTCGAGCAGCAACAGAGACACACCAAAGCTAAAAAAACCTTTTTAATTAAATAAATAAATCTTAAAAAAAAAAAATCCCCATTACAATGTTCCCTGGAAGGGAAAGACTTGGAGTACAGACCACAGACGGGCGGGAGCCTTGATAGCGTTCCATGACCATATTAGAATGGACTGGAGATGGAAATGGCAAGCCACTCCAGTATTCTTGCCTGGAAAATCCCATGGACAGAGATCTACAAAATTCCTGGCGGGCTACAGTCCATGGGGTCACAAAGAGTTGGACACGACTGGGTGACTAACACATTAGAATGGATTTGTAAGTTGCCAGTAAGTGTCATCTTAGAAACACGTGAAAGGCTGACTTGGCAAAAGAAGGTACAAGGCCTGACATATGGGTATTTGAGAACGAATAAAAAATTTAGAGTCTAAACTGCTAGCTGAGGGCTGGATCTGAATGTTATTTACTGCTATCTATGTCTGAACATTTCACGGATGCTCTCTGAGCGCCTGAATTTTTCAACCACAAAACGGGATGAACCACCATCCTTAGTTTCCAAGGTTGTTACAGGGAGAGAAAACTGCAGCTGGCAAAGTGCTCTCTCAGCAACATGTCTCAAGAGGTCCCTGGGAGCCACATATCATTTGCTTTCACCACTTTTTACATGTGAATCAAGGCTCATGGATCAAGGAAGCTGGGGATCCAATGAAATAAGGTATTTGAATGTGCTTCCCTAGTCCTAAAATGCCACCCTTTAGCATTATTAATAAGCAGCAGCAGTGGTAACAGATAATGATCGCCAATCGATGTGGCATAGAATCTATCCTAAGTCCTTGAAACTCTCACGATAGTGAAGGTTTTGAGTGACACACAGAAGGCTTTCCTGGTGGATCAGTCCGTAAAGAGTCTGCCCACAAGGCAGGTGACCTGGGTTTGATCCCTGGCTTAGGAAGATCCCCTAGAGAAGGAAATGGCAACCCACTCCAAAATTCCTGCCTGGAGAATTCCATGGACAGAGGAGCCTGGTGGGCTACAGTCCATGGGGTCACAAAGAGTCGGACACAAGTGAGTGAATAACTTTTGCTTTCACTTTTCCCAGGGGACAGGCCAGGTTGGGGGGCTCCCTTCAAGGGAGTGTTGAAGATGACCACATCACAACACTTACTGGGTGAGGAGAGACTGCCTGGAAGGCTTCCTAGAAACCAACCTTGCTGGGCCTGCAGAAATCACTTCGGATACCTGAGACCTTCCACAAGGCCTTTCTTCTGATGGGAATCCTACAGCTATGAGACATGGTAAATCATGGAAATACCTGATTCTATAAATCAGGACACGGCTGGCTGCCTGGGCAGTGTCTTTATTTCACAATTATTTTCAGCCTTTACTTGCCCTTGTAAATGATCACTACTAACCAGAAGCTCAAAAAGGGGGTGGGGGAATCAAAAGAGCTTTCCTATCTGATTGTTTGTTCCCCATCAACTTGGTTTCTGTGCTGACCAAGAAGCCCTGCCTGGCTCTCATGGATTGCTTTCCTTTAGGGGGGGGGGGGAAGACAACACAGGTACTTTAGAATTCTTGTGGGCGCTGGGGGCTGCTAAGTGAGCTTTTTATACAAATGGAGAAAACTTCCAAGTTGCCAACATGAAACTCAGAAGGTGCGGGTAGAATGGACTTCTCACTTAGGAGCAGGGCAAAGGGCTCTTTTGGTTCTAAAAGAGTCAATTTGTGTTCCAAATAGCTTTCAGGAACTTGACACTGTGAAACGACCTGCTCCCAGGGAATCTGAGAAAGTCCTAGAATAGCTTTCTTCAAGAAGAACAGCAAGAGTCCTTGCTTTGTGAAAGCTCTCCGTATTTGCTCCCAAGACTGCAGGCCTGGACACTGGGGGTCAGGGCAGCCCTGGCCAGCTCTGGGTCCAACACTGCCCAGCCTGGGAGGACATGACCTCTTTCATTACCTGGATCTGCCAGAGAGCCTGAAAATCCTTCCCAGAGGGGTCACAGAAACCAAATGAGGAGACGGAGACAGAAGTCGCATTTGGGGGAAGAGAAATAAGTCCAGGAAAGTTGTCTCACTAAAAAACAAATGCAATGTCTATACATAATTTTGCAAAATAACCCCCAAAATGTAAAGCCCAGCCGAAATATTTAACAAAACTTTGTGGTAGGCTGGGCCAACTGAGAGTACTTTTCAAGTGTAAGGTAAGTCACAACTGGTTTATTATTTTTTAATAAGATAAATAAAAACTACCGAAGACCAAAAGGTTGCTATCAGGGTCATATAGATCTTACACTTCCTGCGAAAATCTGTTTATTTAGTTTATAGATAAGGATCCTTTGACCAAAACAAATTTAAAAGGCATGCCTATTTCCATACATTTCCCCATGTATAAAGAGAAATATACATGTCTTTTAAATTCAGCCAGGAGGCTCCCAACAGGCAAGTTCTCTTCCCTTCTCAGTTACCTGTATATTTCTAGGGAAACTGCATTCTAAGATGTTTGGGCTTTTTTGTTTTTTTTCCCCTTTTGTGAAAGTTCTCAGCGCTCAGGCAGCCTACCGGCGGCCGCCCCGCCCCCAAGTCCTGGCGACTCCGCACCGCCCTGGAGACAACTCATCTGCGCTCAGGTTTCTCGGCTTCTGGAGTACCTATCAAATGTTTCTTTCTTATTACCCTGGAGAACCGGGAAACGGTGCATCAGCCTCCATCCTTCCTCCTCCAGGTTGCAAAGAAGTGTAAGCAGCTTTTGACGTTAGGCTGTTTCGGTGCAGGGAGCGAGAGGACTTAATGAATTCCCCCAGCCCGGTGCCCCCACCTCCCAGTCTGCCTCAGGTCACCCTTTGCATTTCCTGATACAACCCCGCGGAAACACGATTATGACACGAAAAATAATGTGGGCGAGTGGAGTGTTTGCTTTCCGGCTTGCAGATCACAGCACAAGAACAATCTTTGTTCCCCTTTGCTTTTCTTTTAATAGAGTAAAAGAGAAAAAGGAGGTTTTAAGAAATGTTATTTCTACTTTGCCAAAGATCATATTATTAGTAATGCTTTCTCTTCTCCCTCTTCCTTCCCCTCACCTCCCCGCCCTTTTAGAAGAAAGCTTCATGGATCCAGCCAGGTTCCTGCCCTCATCCTGCACCCGAAGATGCCCTTCAGGACAAACCAAAATCGCGCCTAGGCAGGGTGACCGCCGGTCCTGCGGCAGGTTTGACAAACTCTCGGGAGACGACAGCCACCTGCCAGAATGCACCTGACTCCATCCCGCCCAGGAGCCCCGAAACGAGGCTCGGGTTTGCAGAAAGGCCACCCCAGGGACCGTCAGGGCGAGGCTGCGCTCCCTGGGGAGGGTCGGGCGTCGCAGAGCGCTCGGCGCAGGGGCACGTGAGCCGCGAGCCGGGCTGGAGGCGCAGCAGGTGCGGCGGCGCTGGGACGCCGACCTACCTTCACGAAGAGCTCGATCTCGGGGTCCCGATCGTCCCCGTTAGCCGTCGCCGTGTCCGTCATGCCGTCGGCGCCCGGGGCCAGCGTCCCGGGCCGGGGAGGCGCCACCTCTGCGGCGCCCGGGCCAGCGCTCCTGCCGCTGCTGCTGCTGCTGCCGACGAGCGCGGCCCCCGCCCCGCATCCCAGGCCCGGCGGGGCGCGCCGCGACACCACCGCTGGGATAGGAGGATGTTCTGGGAAAGATAAAGGGGGAGGAAGTGTGAGAGGAGGCGGGGGAGGATGAGAGAGAAAAAGAGATGGCTTTAAGCCTTACGTTTCATTTAACGAAGCATCAGCTCCTGTAACTTACGTTTCATTCAACGAAGCATCAGCTCCTGTAAGTTAACTCTCCTATCAGCCCTTTCCACTAGAAAAGCCCCTTCCTGCCTTAGGGATGCTCAGAGTGGGGAGGAGCTATGGGGAGCCGGGAAGAGAACGGAAGGACCCTGAAATCTGTGCATTTGCCATCCTCGTGCGGGATAGGTTAGAGTGGGACTGGGGGAGAAGGAGGCTGGGAAGGGCAGGGAGCTGTGTAAGGTAGAGAGGTGAGCCTGCCAGGTCAGGATACGTGTCCTTTAACCTCTGGGCTGTTTTTCTTTCCCCTTCTTTCATTTTGTTTTTTTCTTTGGCTTTCTCCTCTATTTTTTCTTTTTTTTCTATTTTTATTTTATTTTTCTTCTTCTTTTTAATAACAGAATACGCATATGGGCTTCCCTTGTGGCTCAGCCGATAAAGAATCCACCTGCGATGCTGGAGACCTGGGTTCGATCCCCGGGTTGGGAAGATCCCTGGAGCCGGGAAAGGCTACCCACTCCAGTATTCTGGCCTGGAGAATTCCATGGACTATACAGTCCATATACTTTTCCCACCCTATGCAAAGAACTGACTCACTGGAAAAGACCCTAATGCTGGGAAGGATTGAAGGCAGGAGGCGAAGGGGACGACAGAGGGTGAGATGGTTGGATGGCATCACCGACTTGATGACATGAGTTTGAGTAAGCTCCAGGAGTTGGTGATGGACAGGGAAGCCTGGCGTGCTGTAGTCCATGGGGTCGCAAATAGTCCAACAAGACTGAGCGACTGAACTGAACTGAATATGCATGTGGAAAAATATTCCTATCTTAAGTGGATGTAAGTTCAATATATTTTCACAATCTGAACTCATCCATGAAGCCAGCACCAGAGAAAGAGGTAAAACGTTAGCTGCTCGCACAGAAGCTCATCCTGGTCTCTCCTCTGCAGCTCTCCCCGCTTTCACGGCTGTCACCCTCCTGCGGTTAACTTACTATCCCTTCTTGTAGTAACAGCACAGGTTAGTTTTGCCTGGAATCTTACAAAAAGCACAGTGTATACTTCGGTGTCTGGCTTCCTTTGTGTTCACCACTACACTGGTGGGATTTACCCATTCTGCAGTGTGTAGTTGGAAACCACCCATTTTTGTTGCCACAAGTTATTTATCCATTTGCCCTCTGATGGATATTTGCATAGTTTGCGGTTAATGACTTCCATGGGGCTGCTATGACCATTCTATCAAACATCCTTTCACAATACGTGGACACTTTTTGTCGGCTGTATACTCAGGAATGGGATGGCTTGTTTCTAGAGTGTTAGAATGTTCTTCTCGAGTAAGCACTGCCAGTGGGTTTTCCAATGTGGCTGTACCAATTTACATTTCCATCCTCCATTTCTTTTTAAAATCGGTGCTCAGTCTTTTGTATCTGGAATCTGGTCAACTTCTGTTTGTGTTCTTTGCCTTCTCTAGCTGATCCCGTCTGTGCTCTGTCCTGCTGGACTTACAAATACATATTTGTTCCATGACTTTCTAAGAAAAAAATTAATCACTTAATAAAAATAAGTAGCAGTACTTACTAGGTACCAGGTAAAAAAATGCTAAACACTCTACATGTCTTAACTTATTTCATCTTTATAGATAGTGTTATTGTCCCAATTTTACAAGTGGGGAAACTGAGGCATATTTATTAATATTTAAGCAATTTGCCTCTAGTCATTCAGCTAGGAAATGGTGGAATCAGAATTTGAACCCAGACAGACTAAGCCTATGCTCTCAACTACTCTAATCGCCTCTCTCAAACTCTCAAACTGGGTAAGACCCTTTGGGAAACAAAGGCACTGCACTGGTCTTAATGGAGATTAAAACCTATTTCAGGAGAATATGCCCATGTAAAGAAAAACTCAGACTGCCTCATGAATTGGGTAGATGAAACGGCCATGTAAGTCAGCTTGTCAAGAGATTATTCATCACCGTTGGAGTGGCCAGAAAGAAAGATCTCATAGAGCAGAAGAAACTACAAATGCAACTTCGTGAATGACAGGCATCTGATTGGTAAAGAAGATGGCAAGGTGTCCTGACCACCACTTATGACAGGTTTTTTCCCCATAAACTCCAAGTGCAAATGTCTCCTGCTCACTGAAGTACACAGTCACCAAGTCCAACTTGCAGCCCTCATGGTACCCTGCAGCTTAATCAAGGTGAGGCTTAATTGCTCTTCTCCTTGGTTTCAGGCTTACATCACCAAAGCCTTTAGCTGTCACCTTCACAGCTGTACATTCCAAGCCAGTGACTGCATGCTCTGGGAAAGACAAGGTTACAGAGGGAGACTGCTACCTTCACTGCATGCCACACAGACTCATCACTTTCCTATTCTGGACTGTGGACAATATTTGCAATAGTAATTGACAGAGATAAATGAAATTTTATGCTAAAGTGCCTTTGAGGGCTTTTTTTTTTTTTTTTCTGAATGAAGATGCTTTACACATGTGGATATTTTCTTGGCTATGAGCTTAACAATATGTGTTATGACCTCTATTTTCCCCTAATCCCAAACCTAGCAGAGTTAGCTTTTTAAATATATGTATATATATATATATTTTATTTTCGGCTGCGCTGGCTCTTTGTTGCTGCGCACGGGCTTTCTCTAGTTGCGGTGAGCGGGAGTTACTCTTCCTTATGCTGCATGGCCTTCTCATTGTGGTGGCTTCTCCTGTCGCAGAGCACAGGCTCCAGGCGCATGGGCTTCAGTAGTTGCAGCCTGCGGGCTCAGAAGTTGTGGCCCACAGGCTTAGTTGCCCCAAGACATGTGGGACCTTCTCGGGCCAAGGATTGAACTTGTGTCCCCCTGCATTGGCAGGCGAACTCTCATCCACTGGACCACAAGGAAGTCTGAGAGTTAGCTTTTATTTCACCCTCTCCAAATAATCTACCACCTACTGAAAAATGAAACAATTCTCTTTTAATTTCTAGATACCTCTCACTTGGACATCCCTGTAGATAACTGATAGTTTTGATATTATAAACCTTCATTTAACAACAATAAAAAATTCTGTCTGGTTATAAAATACTTCTGGTGTATTTCTAGTTTTTAATTCCACATTCTGCTTCATTTCACAATAAAAACACTTCTTTTTTTTTTTTTTTAAATAAAATGACTACCCTTTTACATCAAAGTATAATTGGTTAGGCAATTCTAACTTTCTTCAGAGAAAAGCACTTCCCTGATCATATAGACTGTACTTCTAATAATCATAGTTTCACAAACTTGTTGCAAGTTTTGGATAAATCCTTATTAGGCAAGCACTTCAAAAACATATTCAGTGCTTACTTTAGCAGCACGTATACTTAAACTGGAATGACACAGTGAAGATGAGAATGGCCCCAATGAAAGGATTACATGCACATCTGTTTAACACTCATATTTTTATATGATTGTTAAAATAAAAAATTATACTTGACTGGGTTTTCAATATATTCAGATTCAATGATATGACATAAACGTGAAGGCAAAGGAATTTATATAGCTGTAATATCTCTATACTTCATTTGAAGTGGCAAACTATGAACTCTAAGCAGATTAAGAAAAGTCAGGTATGCATATGGTAACCACTCCTAAACAACAGCTATAAAACTTACACAAAGGGATATGGTTTGAAAAAAAATGTAAGTTAAAGTGTAATGGCAAGAAATACTCAAATAATCTAAAAGGAGAGAAAAAGAAAGCAAACAGAAAACTAATCATACAATGGCACTCTTAAATCTAACCATTTCAATACTTAAATTTAAATGGTCTAAACACAACTAAAAGTTGGAGATCAGGGATTTCCCTGGTGGTCCAGAGTTTAGGAGTCTGCCTTGCAATGCAGAGGACATGGGTTCGATCCCTGGTCAGGGAGGATCCCGTGTGCCGCAGGCAGCTGGGCACATGTACGGCCTCACATGGACCCCGGGACCCACACACCACAACTAGAGAGTCTGTATGCTGCAAGGAAAGACCCCGCGTGCTGCAGCTAAGACCTGACAACACAGCCACATAAATAAATACTTCTAAAAAGCTGGAGATTTTTGGATTGGATTAAAAACAAACAAACCAAGATCCAACTATGTCCTGTTACAGAATCTCACTTCAAATGTAAGCAGATGGGGAAAAATACCATGCAACTGCTAATCAAAAGAAAGTCACTATATTAACACCAAACAAAATAGACTCCAGGAAAAGGAACTCATCATGGATAAAGAGGAATATTACATAATGAAAACAGAGTCAAGTCATCAAAAGCTATAACACCCCTCAGTGTATATGTACCTAATAACAGAGCGTCAAGATCCATAAAGCAAAAGTGATAAAACTGAAAGAGGAAAAAGACAAACATGCAATTGCATTTGGAGACTAAAACCCTCCTCTGTTAGAAACTGATTAGCAGAAGAAGACAAAAAGTCAGCAAGAGTATTGAAGACATAAAAATAACACTATCAAACAATTTGACCTAATAAATATTCCCGCACAACAGAATACACGCCATTTGCAAATACACATGGGACAGTCACCCTAATAGACCATATTCTGGGTTACAAAACAAACCTTAATCTTTTTAAAAGGATGAAATCTTACCACATATATTCTCTGGCCATAAAATAATCAATTAGACCAATACTGAAGATATATGCTGCTGCTGCTGCTCTGCCCCTAAATGTTTGAAAATTAAGCAATACACTTTAAGGAATTCACTGGTTAAGAAGCCTCAAAAATAATTAGAAAATATTTCAAACTAAATACAAATGAACACTGCTGCTGCTCAGTTGCTCAGATCAGGTCAGACTCTTTGTGACTCTATGGACTGTAGCCCACCAGGCTCCTCTGCCCATGGGATTGTCCAGGCAAGAATGATGGAGTGGGTTGCCATCTCCTCCTCCAGGGCATCTTCCCAAACCAGGGATCAAACCTGGGTCTCCTGCATTGGGAGGTGGGTTCTTTACCACTGAGCCACCAGGGAAGCTCACGAATGAACATAGAATCTATCAAAATTTGTGAGATTCAGGTAATGCAGTACTTAGGAAGAAATTTATATGAGAAGTATTCTTTTTAGAAAAGAATAAAGGTTTCAAATCAATAAACTTCTATCTTAAAAAATTAGAAAAAGAATAGCCAGCTAAACACAAAGCAAGAAAATCAGGGAACCCCACCTCCACCCCTGGTCCATGGAAAAATTGTCTTCCACGAAACCAGTCCCTGGTGCCAAAAGTGTTGTAAAAGATTAACACAATTAATAAACTTCTAGCCATATTTACAAGAGAAAAAGTGTACATATTTTTATGAAACAACGATCATCTTTATAAGGATATCAATCTTACCCCATGCCAGAGTATATCATTAGTTTCAAACTCAAACCTTTAGGTACCTAATGATATTTAAGTGAATCCACGCTTTCTGCCCAAGGTATCTATATACATGGGAATCGATTTGTTTCACCCTTACATTCTCTGCAGAGGATCTTTTGGGCAATCTCAAGGGCTTTGGTTTCAAGCTCAGGGGACTGGCGGATTTTGATGACAGCTGCTAAAACCACCAGTCATATTGTGTCTTTGTGGGAGGACCAAGTGAGTGTAGCCAGAGAGAGGTGAGTCCTTCCACTTGCATGAGGCCACAGGTTAGGCTGTGAGAAGGATGGGGTGGGTTCCTAGTTCTGTTCCTTTATAAACTAACATTTGGGTGTGCCCAACACTGCCAGCGATCTTTGTCCTCACAGCAGTCTGCCTACCTGTGCTCAGCAGAGGGAGAGGCCAGGGAGCAGGCTGGGCTGAAGCCAGGAGTCCTTGTCAACAGCTGTCATTTATCCCATTGGTTCACTCATTACTCATCCTTATCACCAAGGTTTGGGGGATGCCATGCTCTTTCTAGAATCCTTTGAGAAAATGCAATGTAGGCGAGCAATGAGCAGTCTTAGCATTTGCACTATCCCTCCATGGAATTCCTTCCAGGGTTGAGTCATGTCTTTCTCACAACAATAAAAGCTCCTTGAAGACAAGAATCCTCTTTTGTGTCTCTTTTACACTACCCACAGAACATAATGGCCCCTTGTTGTAAACTTGCAAACAAACTGATAATATTCCCAGTACAGTGTATATGCTCATTAAAGAATGGTCGATGGAATCAGTTAATAAAGAACTGTGTGTTGTTCTTGTAGTCGCTCAGTTGTGTCTGACTCTTTGTGACCAAATGGACTGTATCTCGCCAGGCCTCTCTGTCCATGGAAGTCTCCAGGCCAGAATACTGGATTGGGTTGCCATTCTCTTCTCCAGGGGATCTTCCCAACCCAGGGATCAAACCCAGGTCTCCTGCACTGCAGACAGATTCTTTACCATCTGAGCCACCAGGGAAGCCCAAATAAATGACTGGCACCTCTTTTAGTCACAGCCTTTTTCTCCTCTTGGACTTCTCTGTTTGTATCATGCAAAGGCAGATTTTAGTGAAATGGGCCTTACTGTGTGGAGTCTTTAAAAGTATTCTAATTTTGAGCTGAAACACAAGAAAGGGTTCTGTAACAGTAATACTATTTAACATTTTCTAAGACACCACCATGTATGAGAACTCTAAATCTCTTATCAGCTCACTTCATCTTCATAATAACCCAAGGCAGGTGCTATTAGTCTCATTTCACAAATGAGGAAGCAAAGACTTAAAGAGGTGAGGAACTTGTCCAAGGTCACATAAATAATTATAAACAAGACAGCTGGTACTCTGACCCAGGTCTCTCCATCATTAAAGCCTATTTTCTTAACCACCAGGATTTACTAAGTATGTGAAGTGATGTGGTTGGATGAGGTTGAAATGCTGATAGAGATTTAGAAATGGCTTATTGAATTGGTAGGATCAGTGACTGGCTGATCTTAGATAAGAAATGACTGGATTTGGGGTCTCTGGAACCATAAGAGACACACAGACATAAGCTGAAAAAAGAAATAGGGACCAAGAAGTGACCAAGAATAAAAAATACCCCTTCATTGGAAGGACTGATGCTGAAACTCCAATATTTTGGCCACCTGATGCAAACCACCAATTCCTTGGAAAAGACCCTGATGTAAAGTTTTAATAATACTATTTATGAACATACATAATGCAGCCAACATACTGACTGATGCATAAACAAAGGACAGAAGAGTTCTTTTGTATATAAGACAGTGCTACATTTCACAGTCAGTTTCTCACTTGATCTTTCACTTAACAAGATAGCTACTATCAGTACTCCATTTTGCAGAAGAGGAAGCAAATACTCAAAGGTTAGTCAGGAAGCCACAAAGCTCTAGAACTGGGGTTAGAATCTAGGTCTCCTTGACTTCCAAATGTCTACTTTTAGTGCCCTCAATAACTAAGCACTACTTAATTGTTTTATTATTGTATTTAAATGCAAAGTGAGAGAGGAAGAGAGAAACAGACAGAAAGAGGAAGCAAATGCCCTGTTTAGAAGTGAACGCTGAAGATCAGCTACTAGAACATTCAAAAAGCAATGCTCCCAGGTAAAGAGTGGATTTGTACCCTGTAATTACCCTGACCCATGTTCGATGGCCTTCATCCTTT